GGTAGAGACATTGGTGCCTCTTAGCACTTAGAGACTTTGGTACCTCTTTGCACCTATAGACATTGGGTGCCTCTTAGAACCCAGAGACTTTGGTGTCTCTTTAAACCTAGAGACATAGGTGCCTCTTAGCACCCAGACACTTTAGTGCTTCTTAGCACCCAGATAAATTGGTGCCTCTTAGCACCCAGAGACATTGGTGCCGCTCAGCACGCAGATACTTTGGTGCTCCTTAGCACTCAAAGACAGTGGTGCCTCTTAGGTGCCTAAGAGTCCAGTTGGGCGTGGCAACTAATGATTTTTATCCCTAAAAGGTGCCAATTATCTTTGAGTGGTAAGTGACTGAAGTCAGATACTGAACCAGAAATAAATATTCTGAATTACAACTGCAAGTCTGACTGTCATCATATAACCTTAAGTATCTTATTGCCTCAAAAATCGTAAGAGGTACTAGCTTACTTTCTGGTGGTCATTTTAAATTTGTGCAACCTGAGAGGTATCAAATCATTATAAATATAAATAAATAAATAGGGTTTAGTAGTGGCATTTCCACAGAGTGGCTCTTCATCCACTTCTACCACAAATTGCAGATCTGGAACCCTACAAGGTACGACGAGCATCCCTGCTCTCTCCCCCCAGGGGAAAACAATGAGTTTGGAGCTAAACAATTACCCTGCAATACAAAGAACGGCAACCAAGAGTACTCTTGCAACACCAAGGAAAACCTCCGAGCTTTTGAAGCCTCTAAACACCTAAAAATTGCGTTACTCGTGCCCTGTATGACTTTGATCCGCCTAGAGGTATAATTGTTTTAGGGAATCGAGGTAAGCTTCGAAGAATTAATAGATCAAGGCCGTGCACTAAGTCACAGGTCTATCGTTAAACAGTTGGATACTAAGTAAGCAAAAAAAGTAAACTAAAATTAATATATTAGTAAAATCTGTGGGTTCAGCTATTTCGACGGAAATATTTATGACTATAAACCATAATTATATACTTTGGTGTTATACGAACAAAATAAGAACATGGGTCAAATTCCATAACCAAAAACGGGCGAAAATCAATGATAATTCATGATACGTTAAGGCGAACATATCAAAGGCAGTTAAGCATGCGCATAAATAGATATTCGTTTACTAAAATGTGTTTGTTGCTATACATTGAGCTATGTAAATAAAGCAATTTGTGAATCCTGGAACTGCTTTAACGGTAAAAGTTACCTATATTTTAGCCATTTTCTTAACAATTTCTATGCTTTTGCTATTGCTTGAATACTACTTTTAATTCAGTGCTAATGCACGCCGATTAGATCGTTGATAATTTATCCTTATCAGGAATCATAAGAAAATCTTTAAAGCTCTGTTTTTGTGCTGTGCCTATGGGCACAGTACATTTGTTTTTGTTGAGTTAGGTATGATCGGAATTTAGTGTTACGAATGCCATTGGTGGACCTCGTCATGATTGACATTGG